GTTTTCATAGAGAAAAACACAAAAAAAAAAAAGAAACACAATGCTTTTGAAATTCCTTTACCTCATATCTCCACAACAGGAGCACATCAGAACATAATTCAAACAGATTTGGGAAGCTACAGTGTAGGGCTACAACTTTCTTTTTTTGACTATTTTTGGTAATTGGTCATGTGACCACCCTCCAGGGAAGCCCATTGCATGGACCCTGACATGTGGGATACATTTGAAAAATTGCAATGAAATGCCCAGGGCTCCATTTGAAAAATCGCAATGAAATACCCAGGAATACATTTGAAAGATCGCAATGAAATGCCCAGGGCTCCATTTGAAAAATTGCAATGAAATGCCCAGGGCTACATTTGAAAAATTGCAATGAAATACCCAGGGATATATTTGAAAAATCCCAATGAAATACCAAGGGTATCTATTGAAAAATCCCAATGAAATACCCAGGAATACATTTGAAAAATCACAATGAAATACCAAGGGATACATTTGAAAAATCGCAATGAAATACCCAGGGATACATTTGAAAAATCGCAATAAAATGCCCAGGGCTACATTTGAAATTTTGCAATGAAATATCCAGGGATACATTTGAAAAATCGCAATGAAATATCCAGGGATACATTTGAAAAATCGCAATGAAATACCCAGGGATACATTTGAAAAATCGCAATGAAATACCCAGGGATACATTTGAAAAATCGCAATGAAATGCCCAGGGTATTTATTGAAAAATCGCAATGAAATGCACCAGGTATCCATTGAAATTTTGCAATGAAATATCCAGGGATACATTTGAAAAATCGCAATGAAATGCCCAGGGTATTTATTGAGAAATCGCAATGAAATGCACCAGGTATCCATTGAAATTTTGCAATGAAATATCCAGGGATACATTTGAAAAATCACAATGAAATACCCAGGGATACATTTGAAAAATCACAATGAAATGCCCAGGGTATCTATTGAAAAATCCCAATGAAATACCAAGGGTATCTATTGAAAAATCACAATGAAATATCCAGGGCTGCATTTGAAATTTTGCAGAAAATGCGCTGGGTATCTATGGAAAATTCACTATGAAATAGCCAGGCCTACATTTGAAATGCCTTTCAAAAAATCC